CGCGAAGCAAAGCCAAGGAAGCCATTCTCCCGCAATGAAAATTTAATAAATTATATTTTCCCTATTGTATAGTTAGCGTATTCAACAGTCGTTTTTTAGCTGTTTAACTCTGCGTTATCTTGTTGTTTTATTCATGCTGCCGCAAACGTGGGAACTTTTAATTGTATGTGCGTATGGGATTCGAGGAATTCGTATCTGTCTGCCGACTCTATAAAGCACTTGAAATGCAAAAGGATATTTGGTATGCTCGGACAGTGCAAATATCAAAGATTTATTGGACGTGCGAAGGCAGTGAAAACCAGTTGTAGGCTTCACTTGTTCTGAAGGCCAAAAGCAATGTTGTCCCGTCTTCAAATGAGAAAAGGGGACAACAGCGGAAAACGAGCGCTGGCTAAGGTCCTGCTGTGCGACCCTTATAAACATGTCAATCACAAGTAAATTGTAGCAGACTTAATGGCCAGCCGGAATGTGGGTCGATGGATGGTGAGAAAATGCAAATGGCTGCTGTGTCAGCAGCAAGGACGAGACCATGACGCAGTCAAAGCTGTGGCCTAAGCCCACGCCCGCTGCTCGTTACCCTGGCCCGCTGCTTAGCAACAATTTATTGGCAATCTTCTAGCATAGGCGCGTTTTTTCGCCTCTTTTATTCATTTCGTTTTTTTTTTTTTTGGTTGATGGGGGAGGGGATGGGTAGATGGATGTTAAAGCGCGTGATGGGTTGAATGGGCACGTAGCTGATAAAGGGCATTCAAGGATCTCGTGTATGGTTTGTAGCTGGCTGCATTCTCAATTGCAGTGCCGAGTGCGGCCATAAAAGCTGACCGCAAAATGGCGTCGAAAGCACTTCCGGCCAAGTAAAAAACAAAAACCCACCATGCAACACAGAGAACGTACGTGAAATGTTTTCGGCTTGTTTTCCTTCTTTTTTTTTTCCTTTTTTTTTAATAACAGACCCCATACACTGCTGAATACATAAGCCCAGCAAACCGACTGCTCCCTCCACTTTGCTCGATGCGTTAGCGACTATTAGAAAATTGCGAAAATTGCGCGCACGTTTCAAGCAACGTCAACGTCTACGTCGACTGCGACGCTTCGCATTGCATGCGTTGCGGCAATTGAGTGCAGTTTCAGATTTATTGCAGCGGCGAGCGCTCCACATCTAGAATTTTAAGCAGCTTTGGTTTTAGTTTCAGTTTATTAAACGGCCAGCTGAAGCTGATGTTCTCAATGTGATGGCCTCAACATGCATAATTCATTTGGCCTAAGGGTTTTTCATTTCACTGCCAGGCATTGGTGCGTGGGTAAGCGTGTGTATGTGTTCCAATAATCTTTAGTATGCACTATTCTCCCAGGTTGAAAAGTCTGAATTTCATACACATACACATACATATAAGTTCTCGGGAAACCTCTCTTCGTAGGCAATTCTGTGGCTCTGCCCTTTGCCATTGGCAGTTGAGCCTGACTCGAATCCAAAGAATCACCATAGTTTTCTGGATGATTTCATTTGCAAAGTTAACCTAACTCCAGTTTGAATACTTAAACTTGATTTGAGCATAAAGCTGGCCTTAAAGAGAAATCTTTTCTGAAAATTTTCATTTTATGGAACTTGCGCATTTAATTCGTTACCTCTCATTATTCGGTTGGCCAAGTATGCCTCAAATTTCATTTTCCCCTTCGTAAACTTAATTTGGCACACACGCGCCCAAAAGAATGCCACATGAATTTGGGCGAAATTGAGACGAAAACGTTTTCCATCATAAAAGCTATCAAGTTTGCTTGCCTAGGGCTCTAATTTAAAAATCTAAGCATATGCCATATGGCATATGGCAGGAGTTTATGGCTTCAGTCTCACCCACACGATGGCGTCCTGCGGCGTTGTAGCAGCTAGGTGTGTGTGTGTGCGTGTGTTTGTGTGTGTGCACGTGTTTGCGTGTATGGTAAATTGTAAAATCGATAGTGTTTAAATGTTGTTGTTTAATCAAGGTACAAAAATATGCAAGAAATTTTGCTGTTGCGTTAATTGATTGAATTTTCCGCGCAATTACGTGGCACTGCTGAAAACTTTAAGCATAAATATTAATATTGGCAATCAAAATGTATGACAAGAAAATTATGCGTCGGAAAAGCAAATATATATTTGAAATTCAAACAATTGAGGCAATGCGGCCAGCAGCTGTTTCACAACAGACGTTCGCCACACACGTACACCGGATGTTCCAAGGACAGCAGATATAAAACTTTGTGGCTGCACGATTTGTAAATACCCTTTAACCGGTAACTAGATATGCCTGTTCATGTTATATGTTGCATATGGTTGTGTATTTACAAATAAATTTAAGTATATATATTTTAAGCGCCTTTTCAACTGATAATTAATAGTCGATTTTTTTTGCTTTTATCCTGAATATACACTTTTTCGTGCGTTTTGTGAAGGGCATTGAAGCAGCGGGAAACTGATTAAATTAAATTAAGTATGCGCCTCTGTTGTTTCCGCTCGTTACTATGCGGCGCCTAAAAGTAGGCAACGGAAATTTGTGCGGCTGCCAGAAATTAATTTCTGGCACCGCCGCCCGAAAGTAGGCAACGCCCTTTGTTGTCACGCCAACAATGAAATGATTTTCAAATTCTCTTCTGCCAACAATTGATTACTTTTCGTTTCACTTAAGTGCCTATGCTTGTACATATTTATCGATGTGTATGTAAGCTTATGCGGTTAATTGTGCAATATATATGCTGCCAGCCAGCCAAATTGCCATTCTGACAATTTGATATTTCATATCTGTGTGCTTAAGTTATAAGCCGGCTGTCAAACATTCCCTGAGTGTTGCTTAACTTTACCAGCATGGCCAAGTCAAAGCGATGCCATTCTATGTGCTACGGCTAATTGTTCTAAAGCGCTCAACTGTCTTAAGCAGCTTACACTTGGCTCGAATTGTTGCAGCAAGGACACGCAGCACGCACACGTGCCGGCAAGTGGTCAAAGGCAAGCATATTTTAGATTTCGTTTCAACCCAAAAACAACATTGACACACCAAGCCATTGCTTTAACAGGTATTTTATGTAATAAAATGTTTTTCTTCTTTTTTTTCACTTCATTTTCCAACCGAATTATCCTCACTTTGCGCTGTTTTCAATTGAGCTTTTCCCTGGTGTCCTGTTACAACTTGTTCTGTCTCTTCTGATTCCTGACAAAGAAGCTCTCCTGCGCCAGGCGATGCTCCTGTGTGCTCAGGGACGCATCTTCACTAGCCAACGACCAGCTTGCCACTGAAGGCGGTCGATAGTGCCTCAGAAAGGGAACTATGTACTGGGCACACAGCTCGGGACTGGTTAGATGCACGTGATGTGCTCCGCGCACTTCGTGGTATTCAAAATGCGGGTTTTGACTCTTTAAAATTGAGATGGCCTCTGCGGACTCAGAATTTAAAAACGGAGAATCGGTACCCTTAATGATGAGGTAAGGTATATCCTTAATGCGCCGCGCCATTTCAGCTGCCAATCCCGGATTCAACGGATAGAGAGTGTAAAACTTAGTTCGGCCATCTCTGGTAAAGTAAAACTTGTTTGGATATAGCTCTGACTTCTCAACGCTGCGATGAAGCAAATGCTGAGCGAACTCTGGTGGCACCGAGTTGTTAGTGCCCTTGCTAAGGACGCTGCGCAGCTGATTCAGCGTATAGGATGGTGGCTCGTGCATTGAAACCTCATCAGCGCGCTCCTCCTCCACCAGATGCTTGTCCATAAAATAGGCCATAATCGACAAGCCTTCGGCAGAGTCAAGTGGGGGCAGAAGAATGTCCAATGAGATGACCAGATCTACCTTATGCGGTAGCAGCGAGGTGTAAATGAAGCTGAGCACACCGCCAAGGGAATGACCCATCAGCGACACCTTTGGCCACTTGTATTCCTTCATAACCCTAGCTATGGCAAGGACCCAATCGTCAGCGCTGTAGTGCATGCCCCGAGGCAGACGTGCGGAGCAACCATGTCCAACCAGATCGATGCACAGCACGCCCAGGTAGTCGGGCAGCAAGGGGAGCAGTCTATCAAAGGTACCCAGATTGTCCAGCCAGCCGTGAATGGCCAGAATGGGGCGTTCCGATCGATTGCCATACCATCGACCCGCAATGTGACCCCAGGGCGCCCAGATGCGCACATCCTCGTACTGTCAGATGCCAAAATAAACATATATTACCCCATTGGGCTATATATGATTTATATTTTTACTCACGTCGCTTAAGGACAAAGTTCCCATGATGGTTCAATAGATACTAACTCAATAAAAACTGACAGTTTATTACCGAACCGTCATACGTTCCTCAGTATTATCTATATTATTCCTAAAGATAAGCACTGGATTTTAATTACTTAGTGACTGTATTTATAAAAGTCAATAAAATTGCTGCTTTCAGCTAAAAGTGCTGACCGCCAAATGAACCAAAGTGTATCTTAAAGTAGTCCACGAAATTTTATCATAAAACTTTTTTAGCTGTTTGTGAATGAAAATTGAATTGATCAGATTGTCAGGAGTTCGAATTGCTTTGATTAATTGAGCTTTTGTCAAGTAAATAAGAAAAGAAGTTCCCTCGCATTCGTTCTCGTAAAAATATTTATCAGAGACAGATATGACCTTCACAATATGATATCTGTTCCACTTGCACCAACATTTCCATTATCAAATTTGTTTTACAAAGCAGTCTTATAATTTAAATAAATTTATTTTTTATAGCTTGATGTAAGCTCAAGGCTCCGCTCAGCGATTGACACAGTTCGGCGATTGGCATTTTTGTGTTGGAGCAAAAGCTTTATAAAGTAAATAAAAATAGAACAAAAGCTTTTAGTTTACTGTTACTTTCAATAGATAAGGCAGGTGCCAGTTGTGCAGGGCATTAATTGCTTATCAGGCATTAAACTCAATCGAAAAGCAGCTTCACTTTCAAATTGCTTACTGCTTAGATGACTTCATATTACGCTCTACGTTACAATCAGTAGCGTTCTAGTTAACTTTATCACATTTTTCAGGTTTATTGCATATGCTTCTCACTTTTCCCCTTATAGCGTACTCAGACGCCTTGCATAGAAGTTCTCCTGTGCCAGACGATGCTCCCTTGAGCGCAGCCTGTGCACCTCGCCATCTGGCGTCCAACTGGAGACTATGGGCGGTCGATGGTGCCTCAAAAAGGGAACTATATGCCGGGCACACAGTGCAGGGCTCACTAGATGCACATGATGAGTGCCGGGCACTTCGTGGTATTCAAAGTGGGCGTTTTGGTTTCTTAATATATTGATAAGCTCGTCGTCGTTGGAGCTTATGTAGGAGGACTCTGTTCCCTTTATGACGAGATAGGGATTTTTCTTGATGCGCCGTGCCATTTCAGCTGCGAGGCCGGCATTGATCAGCAATACATTGTGACACTTGGTGCGGCCATCCCTTGAAACGTAATACTTCTCCGGATACATCTGGGACCTGGCCACGCTCCGGGGCAGCAAATGCTGTGCAAGTTCTGGCGGCACCGATTTGTTGCTGCCCTCGCTGAGGGCACTGCGCAGCTGGGCCAGCGTGTAGGAAGGTGGCTCTCGCATTGCAGCCTCTTCAATGCGCTCAGCCTCCACCAGGCGCTTGTCCAAAAAGTAAGCCAAGTAATCTAAAGCTTCAGGCGCCTCTAAAGGGCTTAGAATTATATCCAATGAGATGACCAGGTCGACAGTGTGTGGTGCGAGTGCAGTGTAAATGTAGCACAGGACGCCGCCCAGCGAGTGTCCCATCAACGAGACCTTTGGCCACTTGTACTCCTTCATGACACGTGTTATGATGAGGATGAACTCGGCCGTGCTGTAGTGCATGCCCGCTGGTAGCCGTGCGGAGCACCCATGCCCAGGCAGATCAATGCACAACACGCCCAGGTAGTCGGGCAGCAAGGGTATCAGTCTATCAAAGGTGCCCAGATTGTCCAGCCAGCCGTGAATGGCCAGAATGGGACGTTCCGATCGATTGCCATACCAGCGACCCGCAATGTGACCCCAGGGCGCCCAGATGCGCACATCCTCGTACTGTCAGATGTCAAAGTAGAAATAGTGTCATGTTAAAAAGTGTATAAGCAATGGCATTTGCTCTTAAAGCCGGCAAATAATTTAATTATGTTCACCCACGTCGCTCAGCGATATAGTTCCCATCTGGCTCTCTGAACTTTGTTCGTCTGTTTATAAATGTTTGGCAGCTTTTTTCGGACTGCCAAAGGTTCTTCTGTATTATCTTGTTATAGATTGTGTAATCGTCGAACGATTAGCAATTAATTTTGTATTAAATTTTTCTAAATAATTTCACAGCGTAAAAAGGCAATTGAGACGTTTTACTCCGCCGTTGAGGCCCAAGTGCCCACCGGCTACTGAGGCAAACAAGCTTTTTATGCTTGATAAAGAAGACGAAAGCTTTTCGATTAGCTCTGCGATCTTTTGGCAGTGCACACATGGGCGATCGCAAGGCAAGATTGGCTTGTTATCGTGGGAAAAAGCTTTAAGTTGGGTTATTTAAAACAATTTAACTATTGAGCATTAAGAACTGTTATTGTTATTAATTATGTATTATTATAAATGGTATTATAAAGAACTTTATGTATCTAGTTTTCAAGATATTGAATTAAATCGATCATGGGAAAAAGCTTTAAAATATAAGCAAATAATATCAGAGGCTTAGTGAAAAAGGGCAGTTTAGCAGAGGACAAAAAATACTCAGTAGATAAAGTATATGAAGATCTATTAAAGGTGATTGTTAGACGTTTTAAAGCCCATACCTAGCACATGTCTGTGTAGCTTACAAAAGCTTACAAATTCAGACCAAAAAGTTGTTATCAAGCATTTAGCAAAGATTTTTTGAAAGCCTAATCATAGCATGTTCTTGCGTTATACTTATTCTTCTTATCTCTTTCAGCATATTCTAATTACGAAAAATAAAATATATTTTTAGCAACACGTAGGCCCTACGTCATGCACATGCCTCAAGATTTACACTGCGCATCTGTTCGCTTTTAACACTTCATAGTTTGCTAATATTTAGTTGCCCTGGATGCTCCCATCTGGTGGCTGGTCGATGCCTGTTTATGAATGGCACAATCCATGCAGCCAGCTGTTGCGGGTCGCTGATAAGCACATGATGAGAGCCCTGGGCCAAATGATACTCAAATGCAGGATTCTGTTTGCGTAGGATCTGCAAAGCTGGTATGAAACCTTCGTTAATGAAGTTGGATTCGCTCGCCTTTATGACCATGTATGGAATGTTATGTATTCGCCGATTCAATTCCTTCACGAGCCCAACGCCAGCTGGAAAGAAGTCCCCGATATATAAAGTCCCGAGATATATAAAATTTATCCGGTTGATCTGGTGACGGCCTTGTACAACGTTCCACCAGTGGCTGTGCATGCTCCTTGCTGACCGTGGGAGCTGGTCCCCAGCGCACCCCTTTCAGCTGCTCTGCGGTATACAGCTTGGGTGCTGGAGTCGGCTGCAGCATGCGCTCCACGCTGTTGGCCAAGTACTTGATGTAGAAGCTGCTGCTCTTGTAGGGTATGGTGAGCAGATCAATCGCAATCAGCATATCAACATGATCTCGGCCATAGAAGGAGGCGTACACATTACAGGCGACTGCACCAAAGGAGTGACCCATCAGCGAAACGCGTCGCCACTTGAAATGCAACACAACACGACGAATAATGCTCGTCCATTCAATGACGGAGTACTGCATGCCAGCCGGATAGTGCGAGGAGCGTCCATGGCCAGACAGTTCAACGCAAAGCACGCCCAGATGGCTGGGCAGCAATGGTATAAGACGTGCAAAGCTCCCCATATTGTCCATCCAGCCGTGAATGGCGAGCAGCGGACGCACCTGACGATTACCGTACCAGCGGCAGGCAAGTTTGCCCCACGGCACGCCGATGTCAAAGTCAATAAACTGCCGAGAGGTTTTGGGAATGCGCTCCGATTAGCACGTGACTCTCGAATCGAATTTTCCGCATCACTTACCCCAACGTCGCTCATCGTGGTCGCTGCCTCGCTGCCGATTTCGGTTTGAATGCGGCAACTGAACGACTCACGTAGTTTTCAGCGCATTCAACCGATCCGTTGAGCCGTCTACGGACCAAAACTTTCGACTGGACTTGTTATCTACGCGCCCGAACTAGAGACTCGTGAAAAGATTTCAGCTTTGCTCAAATATGAGTGTGTAGACATATGCTTGCGCATAAACTATGTGCGCCAATATTACCCTAAAGAGAGGGAGGACCGAAGTTGCAAACTCTGAGAATAATTCTAAAAATGGAGTTTAACGTTTCGTGCACTGTTATCGATAAGGTATATCGATATTAAAACTGTTTCCACATAATTGTGCCTGGGCTTCGCTTAAGATGTAATTATTCATTTCTTCAAAGATCATTGAAAGAATGCGATTTTTACTAAACTGAGCAAATATATTATTGCTGTTCGCTTTTTCAATTAATTCTGCACTGTTATCGATAACACATACTGATATTAAATATATTTGTATAGGGTAATGCATCAAGTTTATTTTTATTTATTTAACTTCCAAAAAAAAGGTTACTAGCTCTGAAATAATTAGAGATCGACTTTCACTGAGCTGAGCTAGTTTTCTGGTTATTCGCTTAAGTCAAGTCTTAATAGCGAATATATCTAGGCCCTGCAGTGAACAAGTTATATACATGTTTAATTTATTTTATTTTCTTTTTGTTATTGGTTACGTTTAGGGTATCTTTTAGTCTAGCACCGCCGACTTGAGCACTATAGCTGTTTTTTGTTCCAGCATTTTATTATTGTGACTATTTATATTGTTCTCTCTTTTTACAGTCCCTCGTTCTCTTTGTTTTTACAGTGAACTTATTTTGCTTTCATTATCTATGTTTAATTCTCAATTGCGTTGTATATGCTTTTTACGCCTTGTGACAAGTGGCTTCGTGTTGAGTAACACCTCGAGGAGCAGCAGTTCCGTTCGGGCCTGCGAGTTAAAGGGAAGTCTTGACACTGCTGCAAATCGGAGTAAATTTCCTGTGCATTGCTGGCATGATTTATATTTAATATGTGTGCTGAGTAATTTATCATGTCTGCTCTGATCTCCGCTCAAGTGCAAGACAGTTGCCTCCAAGTGTACCCATGAAGGCACCCAGGCATGTAGCGGGTCCCCCGGCTGTGCGTGTGCGTTGTCATTGGAATTGCTATGCAAATTGTCTAGGGCATCTAAGCCCAAAGTGAAAGTGCGAATTCCCCGGCAGCCCAACTGGCCCACTTGGCTGCTACATATATGTATGTATACATATATATATATATACATATCTGTGTGTGTGTTAGTACATACTTTATTGTATGATATACGCCGGCCTTGAATCCATAATTTGCCTGTCAACGACAGCATCCAGCCCAAAATTTGCGCACATAATTGAGTTCAAGCATTTGGAAGCCAATTATGATTTCACATTTTCCATTTTCCATCGTGTCCGCCACCCGCCCACTTCTGTGTGTTGGCATTTTGCCGGGCGACGGGCGACGGGCGACGTTTTCTTTGTGCCGTTTGCCACGTTTGCGCCTTTTCACATCTCAATCAACCGCGTCCTGGCAGCGACTACTTCGCCTTGTCGTGCCTGCGCCTTTAATTGCTTCTGCCACTTAACATATGCAAATTAATTTTCCTTTTTTCTCGCCGTGCTCGCCTTTCTGTATTTTCCCTCTTCACTCGTTTCATTATTGACCGTGCCCTACTTTGTGCTTGCGGTTATGCCATATTGTCCTGTGTGCCCTTTTTGACACCTTAAGTGCTGCCACCCCCTGCCCCATGACAAATGTTTGATAAATATTTATCAAGCGCTGCGCAGGGGCAACAATAGCAAAAAAATAAAGGGTTAGCCCATTTTTTTACCAACATTCGTCATTTCCTTGAGCTACATTCTTGGCGTATATTTTTCATTCTGCTCAACGGCTGATAAACAATACACGAGCTTCTACAGAATAGTTCACTCCACTTGACGCAGCTTGACGGAGCTCAATTCATGGCCTGACGCGTTCAACCTGTCAGCCAAGTATGTGCACAACCCTGGGCTGAACCTGAGCCGAGCTCAACTTGGTAGATGTTTCAACAAAAGACAACGCCGGAAGTCGCCCGCCGGTCATGATACGCATATCAGCCGAACAAAAGCAACAACCACACGAAATGGGGCAACTTTTTGCTATACTCCTGCCATTATTCTTTATGTGCTATTGCTTTTTGCAGCCCGAATTTTCCGGCTCGAATATGTGTGTGTGTGTGTGTGTGAGCTTTAAGAGCAACAAAAGCATCCGGAACTCATGAACCGACCCAAAAGAAGCGTTAGAGAAATTGCATTAAGAAATCATTTGGCAAAATGTGCAGCACGTTAGAGCCCTTTTTTCTTTGAGGTTTGTTCGGTTTCCTCTCAGCGTTTTAATCTAATTTTAATGAATTATTTTCACACGAAAATTACTTAAGCTAAAAAGTTTCGTTTTGTGGTGCCATTTTATGGTTTGCCTTTTTTTTACTGGTCTATTTGGTTCATGTGCAGCGCCTGTGTATGTCGTGCGCGTAATTTTGAATTGTTCGCACAAGACGAGAAATTTTTGACTGCATTTTTAATTTGCATGCGCACAAAAACCGCAATTTGGACAAGCACATAACGCATTAATACCCTCTAATGGCAGTGAAAAGGTGTGTATCATATTGATTATGTATAAAGAGTAGACAGATTATATAATATTTAATCTTATTAACATATAAATATGCATAAAAAGCTATTCACTTACCCCAAAATTCACATAGCAGGACGGGGAGCGACTTATTTATTGGAGTACCGCTAAAAGTAAGAGAAAATTGTTAATTTAATGAAGTAAAAAAACAAAAGAAAATGAAATGAAATACGCTGGATGGAGAGAGACAGAGAGGGAGAGAGAGAGAGAGAGAGAGGGAGAGAGAGAGAGAGAGAGGGTGAGAGACAGCAAGAAAGAGAAAAGAGAGAGAGAGAGCCAGAGAGGGAGGCAGAGAGATAGAGAGCTACAGAAATATACATAGTACAAGAAGGTTATTGAGATGAAATTGATAAAATACCTTTTTAAAAGTCACCAACGCCGGCTCCTCCTCCAATGCAGAAGCAGTTGTACGAAAGTTGGCCACCGCCCTCGCGTATGTAACAGTTAATGAAATGAAATAATTTTATTGCCGACGCACAAAAGAAGGCAATGCGTTTTTGATTGGCCGAAATTTAGCCACATATAATTTTTATATTCCAGCCAAATAATAGGCCACACTCGTTTTTGATTTTCATGCTAGCACCCAAGTGAGGCAATTGGCTTTTTTGCTTGTCAGCACGCCATGCACTGTGCGTATACTTAATGTAAACGGCAGCTATTGTATACACTTAATGCCACGTGCCGCATTTTGTGGCGAATAAGGAAATCCCAACGCCGATAAATTAATTAAGCACAAAATTTATGATTCCAGTTGAGCTGAGTTATATTTTTTGTTTGTTTTGGTTTTCCTTTGTTTTCTGCCGGTTTGGTTCGCTTGTTTTGTTTATTCGTTTATTAATTGCGCATCGCTGCTCGCCGACCAGTTAATAATTAATGTGGCTTATTTATGCATTGTCATAGGGATTGGTCATATATATTTGGGCATTTGTCAAGCATAAATCTGTTTGCAGCGTGCCCAAATTCTGGATATACAGCGTTTCATAATTCAAATTACTCGATTTATGTGCACAAAACTCGCAGTGTAATCTGCTTGTTGTCTGTGGACAAACATTTCAAGCTTTGGTGCTCTGTTTTGGCCACTTTCGCCACATGCCCGTCGTAATTTACGAGTGCCCACAGAAACGCACTTGAACTATGGGTGTGTATAATGCCAAGACAATTGCACCAAATCGCATACCTGGCCGCCAGTTGCCACAGGCGCCGAGCTGTGAACTACAATTTCCTATTGGCAACACGTTTGTATCGATGCTTAGCTGTAGTCTGGTCATAAATTTACGTTTTTGGTTAACTGTAGTTACAACGCTTCCAAACTAAAGTCCCCAGAGCATTTGGCCTCCCTTTCGGAAATTTCCACAGAGAGCACGATTTACACGGCAAGTAGGGAATACCGAAAAGGTTACAACTGCAAGCGGTTGTTGGCATTCTTTGGTTGGCTGAAAAATGTAAGCCCCTTGTGTTTGAAACTGGTCGAAAATGCAACTGTAGGAATCCTTTGTAATTTGAAATTGTGGCACAAAAGTTTTTAATTCAAAGTTTATTTTTGATTTCGGTCTGAGGCGAGTTGAGCCAATAGTTTCTGGATATGTGTTTGTGTGGGTGTGTGTGTGTGTGTGTGTTAAGTTGTGTTGTCTGTCGGAACTTTTGGCATTTTGGCCCATAACTGAACTCCAAAGTGTCACAATAGTTCAAACTGGTTTAGTAATTAGAAATTGCCAGTTTGACTGCTGGCCTCAAGAACTTGTGAATTTGTAAAGTGGCCAACGGCGATTAATTTATGCATTGAGAGACTGTGGAATTGCCAGCACAAACAACAATTAGGTATTCTTCTTCTTTGAATTGACACACAACTTTTAATGCATAGCCCCAAAACTCATATATTGCGCCAGATTTTAATTAAAAACAAATGCATAAATGCAATGCCCGAGCTGCAATTTGCATGAAATCCAATTAAACTTTTTATCTAACCAATCCAAATAAATCATACGCATTGTTGTCTCCAACTTCCCAGAAATAAAAAGGGCAATCAAGATAAATATCCAAGCTGCCAGACAGCCTGACATGTGCACATTAGTTTCTCAACCAGATAAGCTTTGTAGTTGGGCTCGGGTTTATTTAAACAGCAACAGCAGAAACAGCAGCAGCAGGAGCGGCAGCAGCCGAGCGAAATTTGATTGCCATTTGCTGGAATTTGCGGTGAGCGGCAAAGGCAACGCCCGAGTAACCAAAAGCCGCACGGACGTGCCACAGTGCCTGCTAGTGAAAGAAAAAGAGAAATTCATCAAATAAAGTAAAATAAAGCAAAGTTGGCAACGCGGCACGTACAGTGCCTAAAACGGCAACCGCCCAGAACCAGCCCAACGTCTCCGCCCTTTGTTCTTGTCTGGCCGTCATTTGCATTTGCATCCTTGCCTCGTTTTGTTTATTTGCACTTGCATTTTGTATTTATTCACTTTTTGTGCAGTACGCCCTCGTTCCCCGTTCCCCGTTCCCTGTTTGCCAAATGCCGAATGCCGTGTAATTTGTAGCAACAACTTTTTGATATCAATGTAAATTTTAATTTGTTTGGCAAATATTTTATCCAACATTTTGTGAATTTGTGTGAATTTATTTATTTATTAATGGTCGACAAAACGAGTGTCTTCCTCATTATTCAAAAGGTTGTACAATATAAGTATATTCTAAAAGCCTAGTTAAAGGATACAATTTTCTAAATAGCATCACCGACCGATGGAGGTGTTTTATTTGCCAGTCCGGCCAGCTG